TTTATAAACGCAAAAACGATTAATGAAAATACCTTTCCATTGCGTCGAAATGAACTGAAATATAATCAATACACAAAGGAAAGTGAAAAAAATTATCTTTGTTATAGAAGAAGAGTTCTTTAATTTTATGGATGTAATATACTTTTGAAATATTCTTATAAATACGTATATATATATATATAGTATTTACTTGATATAAAAATATCTAAAAAAATTGTTAACCTTATGCGTATTTAGTAGGTTTCATGTTAAAGTTTAAAAGTGTTGAAAATGGCACATATTTAAAAAACTAATTGATACTTTTAACATAAGTTACTGATATCAGCCTTTGAATCTGGGCTCAATGAGCTCCAATAAGTGTTAATACACTTCTGCACTTTTAGTTCAGAAATAGTGACATCATTAGCATTACATATTTTGTCAATTTCATAGTGTTCCTGTACTAATTTGTCTATCCATTGATCCAAATTAGAATTGACGTTATCTTCATCACCGGTTCTATATGGGGTTCGTTCGTGAAAATTTACAGAATGCAATAAATGTGACCACTTTTTGTTCATATCTTCAGTGACATCATAGTTATCACCGGGTGCATTATTTACTATTTTAGCTCTTTCTGGGTCAATTCTTTTGTTCTTCCAATATCCCAAAGGAGTTACCAAAAAATTCACTTTTGCTACTGACATGGTGTCAGTAACTAAAAGTAAACTCCATGTACCCACAACCAGGTGTTCGCTGAACTGTGGTTTAACATACCCTGTCTGAAAACAAATAATATATTAATTATTCGTAAAGAAAAACTTTTAGTAAAAAATTTCGATAAAAAGAATGATATAATTACTAATGTCATTTCTTCAACTTGTACATAATTAATATCTGCTAATCGTCCATATGGATCTACCCATAGTATTGATAGATTTTGCGGCGTTGTCAATCCCGAATCAAATTCATACAGGAAAATTGGGTATGAGTATGGTCCTATACTTCCGACTAAATTTCTAAACGTTTTTTCCTTTTGATCATAATCAGTGTTAACTGATAAACTTTGTATTTTTCCTAACCATTCTTTGCTAGTAGAAAAATTACGCCTTAAATACGCCAGAGCTTCTACTTTTTCCACGTGTTTTTGTTGAACTAATGACTGCTTCATTATAGCTTCTGCATGAATTAATATACCAACATATTGGTTTTGCTTAAAATAAGCAGTTGTTTCTAACAAATGTATCTCGTCGTAGTTTATTTTCAGTTTTTTAAAAACCAATCTGGCTAAAGAATTTGAAATAGTTAGTTGCGCATCATCGGTCAAAGGACTCAAATCTGCTGCATGATATAAACTTTGCCAGTATGCATCATAGCCTTTAGCTATAACGGTTTCATTAGTTTTCTCAGGGTACAACCATTCTTCCACTCTGTCTATAATTCTCTGATCGATAATAGACTCAAATTTCCGAGCAAAAAATAAGTTCCGATCTATAGTATTTCGGATTCTGCTGAAATCTTCAAGCTTGAAATCATTCGGACTACAACCGCACCAGTCAACTACAGCCTTATACTGACATTTACAACCTAACTTTCTTTTCCAGTTAGTAACATGTAAATTGTTATCTATATATGTATTGCAAAACCTGGAATTCCGTAAAACTGTATGAAAGAAGGATTCAGCAGGAAGTAAAGTGTATTTGAACACTTTTAATAAATCAGTCACTAATGTATCTGGAGTTGGACTAGCAACATATTCCACAAAATCTCTGCTTAAAGCTACCCAATCGCTACCACCATCTATCTGAATACCTAAAACAGATGTTTATTGTTATTTAAAATATATTTTACAAATAATTTTAACAGCAAACGGAACATAATAATTTACCGTTTGGTACTTTTCTATCACCTATTCTCCACATACGAGTTTCACATTCTACAAAAGTTTTATCTAAACCTTGTTTAGTAATAAAACGTTGAACTTCTCTTCCATGTGATTTTACAAAATTCATGCCTTTGTTCAAACTCAGAAATTGAACTAGTTGTGCATTACTTTTTATAGGAAAGTCAGATTCTGAGAGATTCACAAGAAAATCCCAATGATGTTGATGCGCGAGCATTTGTTCTGCAGACTTCAGAAGAGTTGTTAACAGGCTTGCACCACCCCAAATGCTCGCATGTCGTAATCCTTCTCCGGTTGCTACTTTAATATTGTTTGTTTTACAAGACCTTTCCACTTCTAGCATCTCTCTATAGAGATAATCTTGTCGCTAGAAAGTTACATTAAACATTATAATTATATCAACACTTACTGAATTAAGAAGCAGAATTATCTAATTACCGCGTCAACATGAATATAAAATAAATGTGAAGGATGATAAAGAATATTAATGAGGCGTTTAACTTGCCGACTCGCTCTGCCGTTTACTGTTAGTAAATAAGCTATTCGAATAGGTTTTTCATTTTCACTTTCTGTACTTGCATTTCTAGCTTCCTGTGCTTTAAATCCTATTAATAAAGAAGTAATATTGTATACATATTTGCCGATTTTAAAAGTTATAAACGTTTCAACTGATTTGTTTGGGTTCTTACTTTGAATTCCAGTCCAAAACACATTAATTGTTAAATATCCACCACAGGAATATTTGGGATTACCAGGACACTTCATATTACAACTAGAATCTGGTAATCGTTTTAATTGTGGTGGTTTTTCCATTCCACAGAAACATTCGACACTGAAAATAAACATTAATGAATTATGTCTAAAAACCTATGAAAGGTATATAATTTTAAGGGAATATATATATAGCGTTAATTTATCCCTCTTTAACTCAAATTTTTTAAGTAAAAATAGAATGTATTTAGTAATTAATAATATGAGCATTCTATAATTTGAAGACATAATGGAACATTAAAAAAAATTATGTTCCAAAATTCAATTTCATATCTAAAAATATGTAATG